ATACTTGGTCAAAGAGGTAGTTGTCAGAACAGAGCAAGGAAACACTGCATGGTTCAAAATTGGGAAGGGAGTACACCATGGATGTGTCCTGTCTCCATATCTTTCTAATCTGTATGCAGACAGATTATCCAGGAGGCTGGACTCTATGAGGAGAAATGTGGGGTTAAGATTGGTGGAAGATCTGTCAAGTATCTGCCTTATACAGATGACACAACCCTGCTTGCTGAAACTGAGGAGGACCTGAAGCACTTGCTGAAGAGGGTCAAGGACTGAAGCCTCCAATATGGATTGAGGCTCAATGTTAAGAAGACAAAGATTCTCACCATTGGACCAATTGGCAGCATCAGGATGGATGGTAAAGAGTTTGAGATTGTTCACAGCTTTAGTTTGCTTGGCTCCACTCAACACTCTCGGCACCAGTAGCCAGGAAATTAAAAGACGTATTACCATGGGCAAGTATGCTGTTAGGGACCTCTCCAAAGTACTGAAGAGCAGTGGTGTCTCTCTGGAGACTACAGTGTGCCTGATACAGGCCATGGTCTTTGCTATGGTCTTTCACTTGTTATGCACCAGAGAGCTGGACAATGACTGAGGAGATTTGATGCCTTTGAGCTGTGATGCTGGAGAAGAGTATTAAGGGTACCAAGGACGGCTAGGAAAACAGATTCATCCTGGAAAGGGTTAAACCGGGCGGCTCCCTTGAGGCAAGGATTCTGAGGCCCCGTCTAACATACTTTGGGCATGTTGTAAGGAGGGACCTGTCCTTGGAGAGGGATATCATGCTTGGTAGGGTGGAGGGACAGCGCAGGAGGGGAAGGCCCTCCATGAGGTGGACTGATTGAATTACTGGCATTATCGGGATGGGAGTGTCAGAGACAGTGCGATTGGCACAGGATAGAGCAGAGTTTAGGGCTGTTGTACATAGAGTCACTATGAGTCACAAGGGACTCGATGGCACATAACAACAACCCTTTCTTATATGGAGCTCTGGTGACCTGGAGGTAAGAAGCTGTACTGCATTCCCAAAGGCAGGCAGTTCAAATCCACCAGTTGCTCTCTGGAATAAGGATAGGCAGACTCCTGTGCACCTTACTGCCTCTGAAAACCTGCTGAAGGGTCAGTTATGAGTTGATTCCAACTCGACAGCACTCAACAGCCAAACCCTTCTTACTGTTCCTTATTTCTTTTTCTCTTTATGTCTGCCTTCTGTATGTGTATATACACATAAATACATGTGCTTTTATTAGCATGCTTATATAATACATAAACATGTGTACATAATAATGTATATGTGCTTCTATTAGCCTTATATTTATGTGCTGCTATTAGCACGTGCCTTAGAGAAGCAAGGTGTATGTGTGCACAAGACAGGAGATGTACCGATGCTGGATCTGTGATTTGGAATCCAGTCCCTTCATTCCTTTGAGAATCTTCTAGTTTTGTTTTCTGGATTAGAGTCAGTGAATCTCATATGAAGTCATAGTTTTTCCACTTTTTACATAAGTCTTGCTTTTTATACAATCATCAATAGAGAAACAATGAACAAGACTCTTAAGAATCGTGAAATAAGAGCTCTCTGTGATAGAGAATTTGGAAGCACTGTGGGTGATAGAACAACAGAACTTAGAAGCAAGGGGGAAAAGACCATCTTTTATTGGGTCTAGTTAAAACAGCACCTCACTGGCGTTTCAGTGTGTTATATGTTGTATTGCAAACCTCCCAGGAGTAAGAATCCACAGCTGCTCTTCCTTGGGAAAAAGATGGCCAGTCCCTTCCCATAAAGATTTAGTCTTGAATACTCTGCAGAAGGCCACTCTCAGTCAGAATTGACTTGACAGCAGCAGACAAACATTCAGAGTCAGCAAATCTAGGGAGTCATCAACAAGACAGACTGGCACACGGGCTGCAACAAGGGACTCATCTATATCAGTGATTATAAAGATGGCACAGGATCAGGTGGTGTTTTGTTCTGGGTATCTATGAGTTGGAATGGATTTGGTGGTATATAACAGGTATTCGTTTGTGATTCATTTCCAAATCCTAAAACTGCTTGCAGATGTTTATTACTGTAGCTCTTACCAAAGTTGGTGGCATTTCAATTACTTACATGTTTCCACTAATTGCAGAAGATCAAGGAATGCAGCCTTCAACATGAATTGCATCTCAATGTCAAGAAAACAAAAATTCTTAACATTGGACCGAAATGCAATATCATGCTGGATAGAGAAAAGATTAAAAATGTTAACAGCTTCATCTACCTTGAATCTCCAACTAATACCCTTGGTAACCAGCAGTCAGGAAATCAAGAGATGTATTGCACTGGGAAAATCTGTAGTTAGGGAACTCTCCAAGTTACTGAAGAGGATCTATGATGTCAGTTGGAAGACTAAGGTGTCTCTGCTTCAGGTCATGGTTGTCTCAATCACTTGCAATTTATCTGAAAGATGAACAATGAATAAGGATGACAGAAGAATTGATGCCTCTGAATGAGGTGTTGGAGAAGAGCACTGAACATCCCATGGACAGTCAAAAGAACAAACAAATATGTCATGGAGAGGATGCAGCCAGAGTGCTCTTTGAAGGCACCATGCATTTCTCAAATTATCACTTGAGTCTCAACGACACAGAAAGCAGAGTTGTATGTTATATTTGTGCATTTTAGTAATATGACATTTACTAAGAACTGAGATTACTAGCAAGAATATATAACCTATATAACATTCTCAATTAGAGTATGGACTCTAGACTCTATTTTGTGATTCTGCCTCTTCCCCCCCCATTCTCCTCCCCCCTTTTTTATAATGTTCCCCCGAAAGCAATGCTACCAAGCCAAAGGTGGGTGACTCTAATCCGCGGCCGTCAGGCCAGTTCTTAATTGTTTTTGGTCAAACATTCTTGTAGATTGTCTAGCCCTGGTGTGAGAGCTTGCCGTACAGAGGTATCTTGTGGTTGCTGTGAAGCTGAACACTGTGACACCAATGTGTCAAATGTGATAATGGTTACCCATGGTGGACAGGGTTTGGTGGGGCTCCCAGGTTAAAGCAAGCTTGGAAGCAGGAGTGGCATCCACTTCCATAAATAGCTTGTCCCCTGAAACCGTATGAACCTTGAGAAAGGATGAAAGTCACGCAAGGATTGAGGACTTTCGTTCATAGGGTCACTATGAGTCGCCTACGACTTGATGGCACTTAACAACATTGTTTACTAAGAAAATAGCTACAATTAGAAAATGAAGTTTTCTACTTTCAAACTGCTAATCTAGGTTGGTTTGGTGATCTAGAAGGCATAAGAAATTTGTTTGGTGTTTTTGGTTTTTTGTGTTTGAGTTTTGTTTTTGGTTTGTTTGCTTTATACCTTTATCAGTTCCTCCTCCACCCTTTTTGCTTTTCTTATAATTTCCATTTTTCTCCTTCCTTGTTTTCAAAACCAAATATCTGTCAGTAGTTGTTCACTGAAATGCATTACTCATAAACAGGAAAATAACTGAAAGAAGATTCACCTCTAAAAAGATGGTTTAGCATAACTTCTGGCATTTGTCAGGTACTCAATACACAGTTTTATATTTTCATTCTCTCTGAGCTCCAGGCTACAACTCAACCACAGGTATTTACCAATTGTGTTTTATCTGCCTTTCTACTGAAGAACCACTGTGGTGCATGAAGAATTCTGTGTGTGTGTGTGTGTGTGTGTACAGTTTATAGAATTTTATAATCTATTCAAAATTGGAAAGAATAAAGGCATTATATATAGACATTTTTAAAATAAACACCAATTTATTAAATTTATGTGATGTAAAATATAGTGAAAAAAGTTTATTTTCTGAACTGTTATTGAAACATCTGATATAAACGATGAGTTTGGCAGTGATAACAAAATTGTTGTTTAAAATACATTACTAACATATATGTGCCTATCTTAACTCCTAACTTCTTTGATTACTTGACCTAATATTAGCTCTGTCTTTCTAGTACACCTGTTTTAGCTTTCATAGTTTTTTACATCTTACAACAATATATTCTGGTACACTCTAACAATTAAGGTTAAATGCAAGGAAAACAATGAATTTTGTCTTCCATATCACTCATTCTCCTTTCCATTTTAGCTGTTTCTATTCTAGACTTTAGACATCTGAGTTCAAGGAATATACCTATTCTAATTCTCCACACCTATCTCAACACAATCCGCTTCTCATCCTCATAGAGTCAAATTATCAACCAGCAATATTCATGTGTTGCCACTGAAAAAAGGTCCCACTTGCTTACTAACTTAATAAAGAGATTGATTCCATTTTGAAGTCAGATAAAAGGAAGATAAAACCAAATCTGGCCCCCTGAGCAACTGTTTTAGAATAAAGCTTTAAAGTCTCTGTTCAATTTGGACTTACAAGGTCACTTACTCATTGGCTATAGTTAAAATTCAAATAAAAGTTACTGTTGTCAAGTCAGAAACAACTCAAAGCTGACCCTCCAGCAGGTTTTCAGGAGGCCGTAAGTAGCGTTTTGGTTCCTCAGAGTGGCTGGTGGATTCAGATTGCCAGTAAGCGGCAGTAAGGCACCACCTTTCAGTTAGCAATGCCACTCCCTACACTAAAGAGTATCTGTTATGAGCAATGATATTTCATCACATGCACTTTTGTTTGGGCTTATGTCCTTGCCTTCTGAGAAAAACAAATTCAAATGCTAGTTCATGATGACAAAGTTAAATATTACTTTTACAAATGTAAAAAGAATGAAGCATTATCATTTGTAGGAAAGCATTGAAATTTGAAAATTTTACACGTTTCATTATTAAATTTCTAGATAACAACACAAGTAAGAACTTTCTACTGTGATTCATATGACAACTTTTTGTTTTTTAAATAAACTTTTTAAAATACCAGGAATGTAAAAGTACCACAAAGTAATCAATCTGCACATCACATATAAAACCTTTCAGCTGCTTCTGAAACATACATATAATTACACACAGGAAAAGAAGACATTATCAGAAGAGAAGATGCCTTAAGAACTGTTTGTTCTTAAGAAGTCTGAAACTGTGTATTCAAAAACTGATGGACATGAGTGAGCTCTAATATCATTCTGTTTAGAAGTAGCTTCATCCAGATCCAGCTCAACACCATTAATACTCACATCCATACAACCGTTATAAAAGGCGTTCACAGGGGTAGCACTGAAGGGAACATCTGTAGAAACAAAATATTAGACCATTAGTGCAAGGCTTCTAGGATCTTTTTTTAAAATTTTTATTTTTTGGCTTCTAGGATCTTACTAAGATTTATAAGACTCATTCAGACTTGACATTAGTGATTATAATTTTAAAGGAAAAGTTAATTAAAAAATATACTTTAAATGACTTCTATTTACTTGTTGTATCATCAAGTCAGAACTGACTCATAGTTGACTCTTCAGTGGATTGTCAGGAGTATTAAATCACACTGGAAAAGATTGCGCATTTGTTTCCCACAGAACAAATGGGTGGATCTCAACTACATGCCTTTACCACTAAGCCGCCAGAGCTCATGTATATGTGTTAGACATTTTAATATATATTTATTGAATACAGTTTTATTAGGTGAGGATATTTTATTAATTAGATCAATTAATGCATATGTATTGAATAGAATTTTATTACATAAAGAGTTCTGGTAGCTTAGAGGTAAAGAGTTGCACTGCAAGCCATAGACAAGTGGTGCATACTCTCAGGCTGCTTCATGGAAGAATGATAGAAATGCAATTTACAGCTCTGAAAACTCACATCAGAGTCAGCGATGTCTTGCTTCTGACTTGAGGGCCCATAATAACAAGAACACTATATTAGGTAGAGATTTCTGGTTGTGTGGTCCATAAACCAACTCGTTTCTCTAGGGGTTCAAATACACCGAAGGCTTTCTGAGAGAAAGACCAACAATCCCCTCGCATGTGATTTACAGCCTCAGAAAACCTACTGGAGGGTCAGCTCAGCATAGGTTCCAGTAAATTGAGAAATGAGAACTGCAATGAGAAAGAACTATATTGGGTAAGGAACATTGGTAGTGTAGTTATGGTTTACCATTGAGTTGGAAATGACCCATAGATGACCCTCCAGTGGGTTTTCAGAGGCATTAAATCACACAGGAGAAAACTGCCTTTCTTTCTCTTGTGAAGCAACTCATGAATTCAAACTGCATGTTTTTGGATTTTCTACAGCACAACTCCTTACCATTAAGTTAGGGCTGTTGTACATAGGGTCGCTATGAGTCGCAGGCGACTCAACGGCACATAACAACAACAACAACAGTGCAGCAGGGCTGCAGAATCCAAGATTAGCAATTTGAACCAACTAGCCACTTTTCAGAAGAAAAATGAAGCTGTGTTCTATCATCAAGATTTACAGGCTGCTCAAACCTGATGGAGGGTTGCCATGACTCAGTGATTCAAAGCCAGCCAGTGGGCTTTTATTTGCCTGATTTTTTTATGTATTGGGTCAACAGCTAATATATTCTAACCCATGTCAATTTCTTTTGTCAAAATAGAACTGTGCTCCACAAGATTTTCAATGGTTGATTTTCTGGGAGAGTGGAATAGATCACTGTGCTTTTCTTCTCAGGAAAGTCTGGGTAGACTAGAACTTGTAGCATTTCGACTAGTACATTAGTTGAATGGAGGCAGCAGTGGACATTGACACAGAGGTTAGGATTAGGTTAGGATTAGAGGTTAGGGTTTGATTCTCAGACTGTGTATAGCTACCACCCTTCTCCATTACTAGGAGCTTGCATGTTGCTATGATGCTGAACATGTCTCACCAGAACTTTCAGACTACGAAAGACTAGAAGAAAGGTCTGATGTTCTTCTAAAATTCACACAAAAACCTTATAGATCACAACTGTCTTACCTACAAGCACTAGAGCTGTGTATAGGATTTCCATAAAATGGGGTCAACTCACTAGAAACTAACAACATATAAGGTATTACGCTTGGCACTCAATAGAGTATATTATGAGATACTCTGTGTCATAGTAATGTAGCACTGCAATCAATAATAGAAATTCATCTATTTCCTCAGAGAGTTTCACTCACTCACTCACTGCCATCAAGTTGGTTGCAACTCAGTTGTAAGTCATAAGGAGGAGACTGTCAGTCTTTCTTGCTAGGAGTCACTGGAGGATTACTGTTGTTGGGTCCTATCAAGCTGAGTACGAGTCAACCTATAAACAGCCAATCTGAACACTGTCCTATCCTGTGCCATCCTCACAACCTCTGACACACACAAGCCCCTTGCCAAAGTCACCCTGTCAATCCACCTGGTTGAGAGTCTCCCTCTCCTTTGCCATCCTTCCACCTTCCCAAGGACAATGTCACTCCCCAAGGAATATGCTCTTCTAGAAACATATCCAAAGAATGTGAAATGAAGCCTCATCATCCTTGCCTCCATGGAACATTCTGGCAGCACATTCTCCAAGATTTATCTCTTTCTTCTTTTGGCAGTCCATGGGATCTTCAGCACTCTTCTCTAACACCACTGTTCAAAGGCATCAATTCGTCTTCTGTCATCCTTATTCACTGTCTAGCTCTCAGATGCATAGTAAGTAACTGAAAAGACCATGATATGAATCAGGACCACCTTAGACCTCAAACTGACATCAGTACATCTCAATAATTTGGAGAGGTTCCTGACTACATACTCTCCCAGTGCAATGGGTCTCCTAATCTCCTGATCACTGGGACCACATATATTGATTGTGGATCCAAGTAAGATGAAGTTCTTGAAAGTCTCAATCCCTTTTCTGTCTATCACAATGTTGCCTATTGGTCCAGTGGTGAGGATTTTTCTTTTCTTGACACTGAGATGCAATCCATATTGAAGGGTGTGGCGTTTAACCTTCTATAGCAAGTGCTCCAAGTCTTCCTCACTTTCAGCAAGCAAAGTGCATCATTCGCATAATGAAGGTTATCGATGCCACATTTTTCTTCACAGTCTAGCTTCTCAAATAATTTACTTAACATATAGATTAAATGGGTACAGAGAAAGTAAACAACTCTGATGCACATCTTTCCTAATTTTAAACCGTGTAATCTTTCCTTGCTCTGTTTGCAAAATAGCCCCTTGGTCTAGGTATTGGTACAGGTTTTGCATGAGCACAATTAAGTATTCTGATTCCTATTCTTCTCAATGTTAGTCATAATTTGTTATGGCCCACACAGTCAAATGGCTTTCCATAGATAAAAAAGCACTAAAGACTCGGCTTTGAGTTAGCAATGTAACTTGCTATAGACTACAATCCCCAAAATAAGGGTACCAGCCCTAGGAGAAGACACTCTCTGTACTCAAGGGGAAAGGCTTTGTCAATCATAAGGCAAATATATTCTTTGTGCTTGATTAACTATTCTTTTGTATCTTAGTAGATTGACCTTAAAAACTACACAATCAGTGTGAAAGGGAGAGGGGTAGGAAGGCTGAGGGTGGGAAGGGGGTAGTTACAGAGGTGCAGTTTGATAGGTAGAGGGAGTGGGTGAAGGAGTTAGGATAAATCTAGTGAGGACCTGAAAAGACAAAGTGATAGTGGGCGTAGAGCAATAGTAATTAATTTCCTAAAACATAATGTATGGGAATGATCATATGAAACACAATATGAATAAAGGAATGTGTGAAACATAATGCACATGAATGAAACACAATGTGTAGGAATTTAAATGCAAATCAAGAAAAAAGTTACATATTTGGTGCAAATATCCCTAAAATTTTGAAAGCCAGAAGAATATGCTGTCTAAAAAATCCCAAATTGTTCAACTACCCTTCTATTTAATATATCTTCAAATTTCATTCAGAAAGTGAACAAAATTTTATAAAACCATTAACTTATAAAACAATATTCCACATGTAGTCTAATGACCTCATATTATATGTTATTTATGGAATAAAAATTAAGTATTTTCACAGAGACACAAAAAAACACTACACAATATTGTAGTCATTAACATAACAAAGAAAACCTATTCCCCAATAAATTATAGTCATAAGTATAGGTTAGGATTGACAAATATTTTGGGGGGTGAAACAATGCCGTTTGAATCCATCACGCTATTCCATGGCAGAACGATGAAATGATTTGTACACATTAGATTTGCAGCCTCGGAAATCTGAGGGAATATTGCCATGAGTCAAAATCAACTCCACAACAGTGAATACTTCAAATGCATATTATACCCTGCTGTCAATTTAGTTCAGCCACCTCAGCTTTGGCATCTCTAAAATGCAGATAGTAGTACCTATTTCACAGAACTATTTTGAATTGTTTTAATTTAAAAGAACAATTTCTCTATAAAGTAAAGAAAAGACTTCTGGATAGAAAAACAGCCTATTCTGTACTCAACTTAAGAAACAGCTACATCATTGCAAAAACATTTGACCAACTCCTAATTAGTTACTTGGTTATATTTTAAAGTGCTGTGGAAAAAAACCATATATTTTATTATTGCTGAAATAAAAGTAGATTTGTTTTCCAAAGAAATATTTTCTTGCTGAGCAATCAGTGGAAAGTCATGATAGGGAATTCACTTTTTAGATAATATTTGGTTTTCTAAAGATGAATTATTTTTATCACTAGTTAGTGAATATGTTAGGGTTATTTTAGGACGTTTGGCACTTTCTTCACTTTCATTTCTCTTTACAATTATAATACTTAATAACTTGGATTCCTAAGAATTATGTTTTTTCTTAAAAACATCTGCCCCTTTATTTGCTGTTTCTTTTTCTCCTGACATCTCCTTCCTATGAATTGTAAGGCATAATTCCTATTTTTAGTCCTTTTTCTACTTCTCAGTACCTTATATAAAAAGGATATGATTCAAATTTTTCACTTCTACTTATTAACAGTCAATAAATTCATAGTGTTCTGTAAGCTCACATGCTTTTTAAAATTTTCACCTATTTTCCACAAACAAGGGTATAATCAGAAAGCTTTTGTTAAGAGTAAAAGAACACATTCCATGTACATAAATGAACTTAAAATCATAAATTGAGGCAGTTAAGAGGTTTTATTTTTAGAACAGCAAGTTAACTGTAAATATTTTAATGATAGTTTGCTCACCTGTGATCTGAGATCATCCTGAAGTGAGGAAAATAAAGTCCCCAAACTACAATTTAATGTATGGGGAATAAAAAGCTCAAAATAGTAATTCCAGCTACAATCTTCAGATCACCGGT